GTGTGCCTTGGCATTTAATGTATCATATGTTCACCGAATTGACATGAAAGCACTAATACATGTGGTTTAATCCACGTGAGTTTACAACTACAAAAATAATCACTTTGTTTTTATATCACATCCTACTGGAGGACATGCAGCACGGCTCTCACTACCGATTTGTAATCATATTTGAATCATCATCTTCAAGATCATGTATGTTTATGTTCACCGAATTGACATGAAAGCACTGACATGAATGTTATTAACTTGCACAAACTCAGTAATTAAAAAAAAAAATGTATTCTACCAAAATCATACAAAAACGTATAATTCATACACACAAATGAACAAAATTAGTAGAAGCGGGAGGGCTGAAGCATAGCTTATGGGGAGTAGCCCTCCCGAGCATCATCATTAGCATCAATATAATAATAATAATAATAATAGCATTTATTTCATCAAAAACTTATAGAAATTAAGGAGTACAAAGAAACAAAGAAAACCAATGAAAACTGGAGAAAAAAAAAAATTATAATTAGGGAAAGAAAAAAACGANTGTGTGCCTTGGCAGTCTCAAGTCACAGAACTCAAGATAAAAGTACCCTTATTACTTATCGTAGCTGCACATACAAGATATCCGATTAAAGCTGAGTTTCCACAGATTATTTAGGTATATAGTATCATCACTGAGTGATCCGAATTTGCGACAGGGGAAGCAAAGACAGACATCACAACACGTACCTTTACATAGCTTCTAGGGAGATCGTCTCACCGTAGCTGTTAATCTGATCAAAAGACGTGTTCAATGGCATTAAAACGAGAAAAACGCGGCTGAATCGGTTATTCCATAGGTTGATAAATTTTCTGGGCAATAATTGGAATTATTTATAATCCATAATTCAATTTTTATGTAAAAATCGCATAGCAAAAGTTAGCTGCTAATGGTAGCCACCAGAGTGGCTGCTGCTTCCGGTCTTGGCTATGCGGCAGTATAANGTTTTGTTGCCAGCATCAGAGCACCTCCTGAGCGCGGTGGCATCTTCCCCATAATACTTGGGAATGCATACGAGTGATGATTTTTTTCTCTAAAAATGTCAAATGTCACTTGTTATAATAAACACACATGACCAAATAAGGACTATGTGGGAGTTCCCCTCGATTCCATTGGCTCTTACGGTTAGAAAGAGATCTCACATGTCAAAATCCAGCAGGGGGAGCCAGAGATATGAAAAATCCACCCAAATGACCCCAGAAGAGGTTTTCTTTTGCTAAATCTGTCTAAAAAGGTCAAATATCACTTGTTTTGCATCAATCTTGATACAGGGTACTTATTATATGTATTACAACATCATTTTTGGACGGACACTATAATTTACAGTTTTTTACCATGTTCAATCGGAATTTTCTTTAAAATAAAAAAACATCTATATTGATTCTGACTTTTCTACATCCAACTCACAGGTTTAACATTACTTTGAGAATAAATATTATTAATTTAACCCTTTTAGAAGGGAAGATATGGTCATTTGTTCTGGGAATGTCATTTTCGAGCCTGAAACCTGAAAAACAGGCTCGGGGTTTAACAGGTTAAACAATACAGAAAGAACCGATCTGATATATTTTCGGGCTTTTTATTAAATGGTTCTTCCCTGTATTTTCCCCAGGAACTGGAGAACCTGAGGAAGCAGGCAGAGATAATCCCACAGCTCATGGCGGAGTGCGAGAGCATCACCACAAAACTGCAGGTACGTTCAAAGCACACAGGAATCCCACAAAGCACACGTTCCTCTCAGGTGTGAGTCACAGCGGAGTATAAAAGCCAGAGCTTACATCACACGTGAGTACATGATGTCTGTCACAGAGAGGGAACACGCAGGCTCTGAGGCGTACGCAGCACTTTCAGACGGAGGTAGATAAAGAGAGTTCCTATTCACCATTCTGCCTGAGGGTTGGTGACACAACATCTCCATCACGTGTCTCACTAACGCACATTGTGCTTACTGTATCTATTAATAAAGGGCCGTCCTGAGTGCAATACTGAGTGGATTATTGCCTCTTTGCAAAGGATTCCTCCTCGTGTATAAAACAGAGATACTGCAGTTTTGTCACGGCTAATTTGTTTCCTCGCAGTGGAGATTAAATCTATTGCCGAGTACAAAAACAGCTGAAATAGTTGGAGAGCTTTAATGACTTTTAATGAGTCTGATAATTTTTTTCATGGGTGCGAGAACATACTGTTGCCAAAGACAACACAGATTCACGCCCATCACCTCCCGTCTTCCTTCTAACAAAGAGCACCTGTTCATCAGGTCTGATTCCTCGTTAGGAGGACTTTCTGTAAAACCAGATATGTCAGGCTCCGGGAATGACGGTATGCGTGTTAGTGCCAAGTCTTGACATAAGCTACATTGGTAGTGATACTCATCTCAGCCTGTTTTCTGACTGAATCAGATTTTATCATTCATGCTGTCATGCATGTGCTGCGGAGGCAGGGAGGAATAAAACCAACAATGGAATGCCTGAAGTTCTTGTGCTTCACAAAGCTCTACGGCCGGTTTGTTTCTGCTACAGCCAGCTGGATGAATGACAGTGACAACAGAACTGGAGGATCAGGAGTTTATCCAAACAGAAGCATAGACAATGGGATTTCTCGAATACCTCAGTTCATCCAAAATGAAAACTCGGACAGCCCATTCAGATAAAAGTTTGTACATATAGTTTAACAGTTTGGTGACTGCTTCATATAAATGAATCCACCTATTCTACCTCTGTGTTGGTGGTCATGGCTCCTCTCTATTTAAAGATGACACCCCATGTGGAGGTCAGGTTTCAGGAGTCAGCTGGGGGATACAGTCGTGCAGGCGCAACACCCATTTAGCACTACTATTTTAAACCCCTCCCTTCAATGGTCTCTTCAGCATAAATGTGTCACTTGTGCCGCCTGCTAGTCTAAAAGACTCGCTTTACCCTGCCATCCCCAACACAAAAATGTGCCTGTCCTAAATGTAGGATAGGGCTGTTATGATATCAGATTTTTTAAATTCCTTGTATGTGTAAAGCTAATTGCTAATAAAAGCAATTCTGATTATGATATCAGATTTTTACTACGTGGTTATCATTGCATAAAGAAGTTGCATACATATATTATGGGGATATCCAAACCAAATTTGAAATAATAATAAAGCTATCAGACATATTCAACTTTTAGCTTTGTTCATTGTTGTCTCTTTTTTGCAGATAAATTACACGTATTTGTGTGGGGGTGTATCAGACAAAGCAAGAACGAAAATAGGGGACATTTTGTAAAAGTGCTGTATTATTTAAAACAGTATTATAGTATGTATAGTAATTAATATCATACCAAGTATTTCATTTTGTTATCACAGTTATCCTCAATACTGTTATTGACTGACACAACTAATGTCAGGATTGTTTTGTTTTTTGTCAAGATGATTGTGTTAATATGGATTTTTATTTAACATCATTTGACACATTTCCCCAGAACTCAAAATAGTGAAAAGCTTTTATATAACTTTTTGACAAAAGCTGTAATAAATTCCGTCTTTGGTTTGACTTCTCTGCTAATGAAGGCTAAAGAACAAAGCTGTACTGATGCCTCAATTGCTCTGATATCCCTCATAAGGAATTAATTTGACTTCCCTGTATCCATTATGTTCTGTGATGTAATCGTTTTTTTCCTATCATCCTTCCCCAGACTGCCGAGTCCAGGAACAAGGAGCTGGAGGGGAGGGTAGATGGTCTTCAGCTGGACATAGACGACAGTCAGCAAAAGCAGGTCAACATGAAGGGCGAGCTGAAGAAGTTCATGGATATGCTGGATGGAAAAATAGACGAGCTGCATGAGTTCAGGCAGGGGCTCTCCAAGCTAGGCGTTGATAACTGAGTAAAGTGGCACTGAGCTGAAAGGGTCAGAGGTCAGGTACCAAGGATTCACTACAGTGTGTCTTCAGGGCAGGAACTATGTGGCACCCTCTCCCCCAAGGTGATGTCCACTCAGATTCTATCAGCTTTGGCTTCTAATAAACACTACCATGTGAGAAAGAGATGTTTTCGGAGAGGGAGAGAGGGACTGGCAGGAGGGAGGCCAGCATGCTCCACCAAATGGCTCCATTTTGTGTGCTGGCATTCTGCAACTAAATCAAGAGTCACACTTTGAGCTTACTCTTCCGTTTCTGTGGGGGGGGGGGGGGACTGCTTCACAAAGCTGGTGGTGGGTTCTTAGGTTCTGTCCATCTGTCTTTTTTCTGAAGGCTGCACAGGCAGTCTGAACTTTAGAGTGGAAGAGGAGACTCAAAGGGCTTTAATGAATAACACACAATGACAACGCTGTTCAGCATCACTCAAGTAATAATTGGTGTGAATCCTTGTGGCCCCCTCAGAGAATTAGGGATGAAATATTTCGTCAAACTGTCCTTGCTGTGGCCGCTCTTCTATCTCAGGTGTGTTGGGAGACAGTTGGTACTCATTAGATTTTATGCACATACTTGACAAACGGCCGTGACACAAAGTGCCTCCAGGTGTCTGAATATATCTGGCAAGAAGAACTGGCCAAGTGATGACCATCACCATAATAACAACTTTAGGATTTTTGTAAGTAATAAAAAAGATAAAATAAAATGAGAAAAGCCCGTACCAGGGAATATTAATGGGTGTTAATGTTGTGATAAACACAAAGGATTAAACGGGTAAAGAACCACATTGAGGATGGTCAGCAGCAGGAAGTCATTAACCCACTTATTGGTGTTTTCAGTAAACACTCCTTTTGTTTATATTAACATATAGAAGCTCTACCGTCTTAACTTCAGAAACATCTAAAATAAATATAAATAGGAACCCCATTTTCCCATGAGTGGTGTAATGTTCAGAGGACTCTGTGTGTGCAATAGTAGTGTTGTCATTATGTGAAACCAAGACGTCTCCCAGGCTGTTGATGTGTTTCCTACACACATTAGTTTTTGTTATGGTGGTGGTTATTTTTAGGGGACTTGGTGCTGCTCGATGGGTGGATAATGTGAAAGTGTACTTCACTGAAAACATTTAGATGGCATGGGTTTTTTCACTACAAACCCTGTCAGATTCTTGGTTTTTGTTTTACATATTTTTTATTTATTTTGGTGCCTCTCTACAACTAGTGTTTCTAGAACATACCAAGTAATCAACCTTAACCCGATGTCTCTATAGATGTACCATAATATATAAAATATACCAAACTGTCAAAAGGTTTTATAATTGAGGATTTGTTTGCAAGATGGTTTCGCAGTTGCTTTTGAGAAATATTGAAACATGGTACATGTGAAATCAAAGGCTTATGTTGATATGGCACATTTACTGGGTTATACTATGATGTTATAAGTCTATATTTTTTCATCACTGTCTTGATCTTTGAAGGGAACATTTGCTTCTCTCTGTTTAACTATACTGTTCATAAGTCACCTGAACTTGGAATACAAAGTTTGATCCTTCCTTTTGAACCAATGCCTCTTGTGCATTTTGTGACTCCTGTTCAATATTGTACAATAGAACTGACAATTGTTAAAATTTAGTTTAAATACAATGCTGAGTTCAGTGTCTTCTTTTCAAATCAATTATTGGGCCACTTTGCGGGATCTGCAGAGAAGAGGTTGAGTCACAAATCAGAGCTGTACTGTGTGTTTGACTTTGATTCTGTTAAGGCTTAATTTTGCTTACATTATTTAAGTTTAAAGTTGTTTTCTTTGTGTATGACAAGGAGGTGGGATGAATCTACATTGCCAGGGCTGCAACCTGTCTAGTCTCTACAGCAGTTCAGAAGCTCTGTCACTCTGTCTCTTTCTCTGATGCTGATTTAAATCACAGTAAATATAGATGTAATCCTCACAGAAACCCACACAACCAAAGCAGAAGTGGGATGTAATTACAGTCAGAAATACACATAGCATTTTTCAGAGATCAGGACAAATAATGCAAACAGACATACTTGAGTGAAGGAGAAACCTTTAAACTCCCAACGTCATCGCAGCGCTAAGGAAATACCTGCAGAGGGGACATGTTTCCCTGGTAACTTAATCCCACTCACTCCTGTTTGTTGGGAATGATTGACAATGAGTATGGATCCAGGTCAGCCCTCCTACAATTAATTTGTAATTACCCGAGAGAGTCTGTCATCCTTTTCAGCCAACTAAACTCGAGAATTTTGATCTCTGTTTAGCCTTTCATTTCCTTATGTACCTTCAGAGATCAGCTGGCTATTACAGAAACATCCGGGTGGAAGATGAATCAAATTATACAGTTAATTGACCAATTAAGTAGCATGTGGAAGCTATTACTTTCCCTAAATTATTCATCTTTATTTTATCAATCAATTGTTAGTGCAGAATCTAAAGCTATTTCATTGCAATTATATAAAACTAAAAAGCCAGATAATTTAACTAAAACTGGAGCAACAGAAAGTAAAAGAACCGAGTGGTTATCAAAAGTGTTGTAAATGTACGAAAATGTTCTGCTTCACTCTTCAGTCTTTACACCACATTAATACTGTGAACTGAATTTGAAGCTGAAATGCTTGAAACGACTATTTTGATTATCAAAATTAATACAACTATACAATAAACAAAACAAAGAAATTTCACTAAATATTTGCAAACTTAAATCCTATAGCGTTAACTGTAGCTACTTGTAAATAACAATTTAACATCCTCAACTAAGACAGTTGACTGACTTATGAGCTAAATGTCAGCATGAAGACATACTCATTGTGAGCATGTTAGCATGCTAGATTTAACTTTAAGCACTGCTCTTGGGGTTATAATTGTCATTGTGGGCAAAAAAACATGATGCTGCATTCCTGTGGTGCACACTTTAAATCAGCATAAGGAGTAATGTTAACAGCAGCAACAAAAACTCCCTATAGGAGAATGATATGGCCTTGCTTGTATTTTTGTAAATGTTGCAAAACAAAACATCATGTAGGCTATAGCATCATGTCACTTTTCAGACTTTGTATTGACTATGAATTAATTAAATGAAAGATAGGTGAAAATCAATAACTATGATATCCCTAACTTTGTCTTACATCAAATCATCAATCACATTGAAATAAATACAGAAGCAGTGATGCAGCTCTGTGGTTCATGTCTGTCTCTCACGGCTCATTGTGTGACTGGTGATGAGTGGGCGAGTTGGTGAAACATCATTAAGAGACTGTGCTGCTCTGTACATGTGTCTAAGAGTAAGAGACTTTCCTGTTGCCATGGTTACAGGCTGCGGAATTTCATGTTGATGGTCTGGTTCCGTCTGAGTGCCCGCCAGGTATGTCTTCAACAAGGTGCATGACCCGTCTTCCACCTGACTCACCTGGATGATGGGGACAAATGGCCGCACGCAGGGGGCCGCAGCCCTGAAACCATGACGATGTTACGTTACTCCCTCTGCCAGCAGCTGCTCTCTAAAGCACTCACAGAAGGATAAAGCCGTCACAACTGGCTGGGGTGTCTGAGCTGTCACTGCAGGAGAGAGATATGGGAGCGAAGGCTGCCGGGATCACAATATGAGTCATCATCATCATCATCATGTGGGCGTCAAATCAGCCAGAGCACACTCAGCGGAGGTTCACCGGCACAGGTTCATAAGACACCTTTTAGATGATGTGACTCATTTAAAGAACGGCGGGTTTCATTTCGCTGCAGGCGCAGATCAGGAAACACCGTGAACCATCGTCAGGATAAGATCTGAGGCAGACAGATTTTCAATGGGAAAGGAAACACTAACAGTCTGTGATTATGATCCAACGTGTCTCATTTATTTTTTAAAACTCAGGAGTACAAGTTCAGCCGCAGCCCTTATCAGCCCATCTGCTACACACTGTTTCATATATTTGCAGTGATTAAACATTTTGTCGGCAAACCGTTAAATACTGTTTGCCCTACGGTATTGTAATTTGCTAACATAATACATTAAAGGCTTGTCTTTTCAGGTAATTGCTGTGTCAAAGGTTCAAAACATTTGCGCTCACAACCTTCGACAGTTCATCATTTTCTCCTCTCACTGTCTCATGGCATAGGTCTACGGCCTTGGGTATAGCTGCTATCTCTCTTAAGGAGGAGCAGCTTGGGCGCATTGTTGTTGCCAGTCTATGGCAGAGCACAAGCCGCCATGAGGTAGTTTACTGTTCAGGGACGAAGGTTCCCTGGCGCACATTATTTTCTATGGACGAGAGCTCTAGTTAGATTCAAGGTTCATAATGTTTAGTCTCACTGATGAAGAATGTTGATTATTACACTCCGAACTAGTTAAACCCTTGAGCTACAGAAGAGATCTTCAGAATTGGTTTAGCAACCGCTGTGTCAACTCGTGACACACCACCTGTTTTGTCAATTCTCCGGCCGTAACTCCAAATAAACCACCAGTGTTTGCCATGAAAGCTCCAGCTCTCCTCGTGCCTCTCTGAGTCCTGTTTCCAATTGCTTCAGAAGTTTCCCCCACAATTTAACCACATTTAAAGACAGAGCCTTGTACATGACATGTATTATGTATATAATTAGAGGATGTATTGATTATTAAAAAAGTTATAGTCTTGTGGTCACAACATTTCTTATGGCATCAAAGAGGAAGACATTACAATTTCACTTAAATTAACCCCAACACATTCATACATTTCTGACACTAAAAGAAAGAGATGAGAGAAAAGTGCATCAAAAGCCTGGGTACAAACAATGACGTCGACAAAGACATGAAGGCTGTAAACAGTTAACAGTGCTGCACTTCATGTGTTTAGTTATATGCAAAAACTACTAAACTCAGTTAGCTACAGCCCTTTTGGGTCTGGTAACACACAAAAAAACAATTGTTCAGATTTCATTACATTCAAAAATAATTCAAATGAGCCCAGTTTAGACTCTTTAATGTGGGAAACTGAGTATTTGTGAGTGTACTTGTGAAGCACAGGATTCCCCTGCTGTGTGCAGTCTCACAAGGCCTTTAGGCGGCAAGTTGGGAGGAATTCAATCATTTACACACTGCTGTACTACAGCCCCACTGCTCTGCTTTTCTCCTTAATGAGCGCTGAAACACAACGCCTTATTTGCTCAGTTCTGGATTTCTGCAAACCTGCAGCTTTTAAGAAGACTAAATCCTGATTCTGCCACTAGCTGCTTGGTTGGATTTGAGCGAGTCTGGATGTATTGCAACATCTCGGGGCTATTTTGAAAAGTGCAATGTTAAAGTCAGAAGAGGCGTAATCCCATCCGTGTCTAAAAGGAAGCTTTTCTGTGAACATTTGGCAGCAACATAAGCTGTAGTTCAGAACCATCAAGCAAACAGAGAGGGGGTAATGTTGAAAAACTGTGTGTGTGTGTGTGTGTGTGTGTGTGTGTGTGTGTGTGTGTGTGTGTGTGTGTGTGTGTGTGTGTGTGTGTGTGTGTGTGTGTGTGTGTGTGTGTGTGTGTGTGTGTGTGTGTGTGTGTGTGAGAGAGAGAGAGAGAGAGAGAGAGTGTGTGTGTGTGTGTGTGTGTGTGTGTGTGTGTGTGTGTTCAGCTGTCCCAGTCAGTGCTTTGTGTCTCGTCTTCCCTGTCGTCAGAGTCAGAGTCGGCTGCAACCTTCTTCATCCTCATCATGGCGGCTTTGATGCTGCGCTCCAGCTCATTTTCTTCGCTCGTTGGTACTTCTCCATGTGCAGGAACCATCTATAATACAACAAGATTGTAGATTCAAGCATTTACATCTCTGAAAACTGAAATCAATATACTTTTTTCTGCAAAAGATATTTTGACATATTGATAAAGCCCTGGGGGGTATACTACGAAGCAGGATTTCCGCTTAGCCGGCTAACTTCAGGGAAAACTTGGGGTTTCCTGTCCTACGAAGCTGGTTCTCTTTTTAGCAGGCTAGAAATCCCATGGTAACTTATGCTGTGCGGCTAACCTGGTCGGGACCAGGTTAGGTTGCAGGCTAAGAGATCAACTCAGTGAAAGCACTGCCTGCTGACCAATCAGAGCTCAGTGTGCGGAGTTTAAAGCGAACAAGTCATATTACAGGAGAAAGGAAATACAGAAAAGCAGCCGTTGCTGGAAAGACGACTGTGTGAACGTGAACATTAATAGAATATCACCTCCCATCTTCAGAGCAATCTGACTATTATAACATTAGCGTTCAGAAAGCTTACTTAGACATCTGCCACAACATAAGTAACCGGATCAGAGTAAAATTACGTACAGTCCGCGGCATATCACATCATAATGTATCATATATTTCCTTATGAGTCGTATCTGGCCGTACAACACTCACAGTGGTCACATACTGTATGCAGAAGTATTATTTTAAGCAACACATTAAGTTGACGAAACACTCGAGACAAATGTAGTTAAAGTCAGATCGTGTCTTAGACGGGGCAGTGATATCATAAACCTGTTAATGTACGCATTCAAACACTTTTTCTTTTACCAGCTGTATTCACCTTGCAGGTGCAGCTATGTGGCTTTTATCCTGGATAAAGTGTTTTAGTCATGGATGTTTAAAGTTTAACTTCTTCATATGTCTAATATTATAGTTGACTTTTCATTCAGGAAGTATGACGCTGTGCTGTCAGTACGCTTCTCAATGTTTGTGATTGGTCGAATGCTCCAGATACCACCCCTTTCATGTGAACNTCGT